AAATCAAAATCCAGTGTTTTTCCTAATGCTAGACTATGACGACTACGACGACTACTGCGACTACTACGACTATCACCACTGCTGCTGCTGCTGCTGCTGCTACTGTCGTAGCCTCTTATCAATGAGTCCAAGGTGGTGTGCGAGGCGAGAGAGCTAGGTCAACATCAGCACTCAAGCATGTTTGCATACTGCCTAGACGCTATCATCCCACCCACCCATCCCTCCCTTCCACCCTTGAGCCGTCAGTGCCATTTCAACAAAGCAGCATGTTGAACTGGCTAATATTTGCAAGATGCTTCGGGCTCCCCACCAGCATTCAAATAATGGGGAGTCGTTGCCCGGATCCGCCCTGGCAGGCGAGAAGCGAAACGCCACGGAGATCATGCATGCCTACCTCGGCACAGGGCTGGAGGTGTTGTCAGACAAAGGCCGGGGCATGCAGGGCTATTTCGTGGAATTTCGGTTCCCAGTGTAATGTGCCAGAAAATGTATATTTTACATGGCTGGGGAGGCCCGCAGTATGGAGAAACGGCCAGATAGCAATGCTTCATGCCGGCTTCGTTTGATGAATGCTTCTTGCAGCTGCGATTTTCTTACATCAGTACTTGTAGCCAGGCCAGTCACAATGCTAGTATCCAGTCCTTGATAGCAAGTATGGCAGCACGATTCTGGGTGGTGGATGATTGAGCCCATTCTTTTGGGAGCATGGCTCTGCACCTCCTAGCTGTGACAACTTCAAGCTGTTTCATCAGTCACACTTGACAAGTGTGAAGATGAGTGGTCATGTGATTGTTGCGACAGTCATGTTGTAATAAATTGTACCGTCTCCACGAGGTGGCCGGGAGGAGTTCCGCTGCGACATCCTCGAGACACCAACGATGTTTGATGGAGCCGGGGGCTCGCACATTTCGTCTCCACATTTCCTTTCTGCTAAAAATGCCTTCAGGCAGCTAGATCAAAGCTCTTCCTCCAGCAGGTCCTGAGAGAGCAAGAGAGCAAGCCTGTACACTTGGCTTCCTCTGTAATAATGTATACAATGAAGCTGCTTACTCCGGAATGATCTGCATGTTTCTTGCCTCTCGATTCTCATGCCGAACATGCATTCCCTGGATGCAACGTGATATGAGCATCTTTACGGAGCCAGCATCTGTGTTGAGGTGTGCGAGGTGTCTGTTGGCACTCCTGCAGGCGCCGCCCAGTGTTGGCGTTCATCGGAGGTATGTTAGAAAGAGTGGCAGCGTTGTCATAGCACATAGTAGCATGAAAGCCGCAAGTAGCTATAGCATAGCAAAGTTTGATGAATGAAGCGTGGTCATACGTGCAAGTTCCTACGATGGATGGCAGCAAAAGATATGCCTCCACATTCGGTGAAGACCGCCTTCATTGACCAAAAATGATGCATATGTAGTCGCGCCACTCAAGGAAGTGATCTCGCACCCCGCAGCTGATACCTAATCCCTGATAACCCCCGCTTCAAGGCTGGGGTATCAAACCTGCTTCTGATACGCGAAGCTAGGGCTCTTTCGTGATCCATCGCGGACAGTCTCCTCAAACCTGAGCCGGGGCAGGCTTTTACAACTTCACCTACGTCCTTCAGGATGCTAAGACTGGTGAAGGTTATGGCAGAAACAGCTGGGAGGCGGGCAGTCAGGGGCTGCATATTTGATACCTGTACTTCTGCTCGGGGATGTCAGCAGGGATGTGGCTGTAGCAATATTCGTACGGTGTGAGTGGGAGTGATGTTGTGTCGTTGTTTTGGGTTTTGTGAGACTAGCAATTGCTGTAGCAACAGCTTGCAGGTAGTGAGGGCTATCATGATAGCCCGAGCCATGCTGGCAACAGTACTGGAGGTAACGAGCACGAGTCGGTAGTGACACACAATTTCTGGACATCACAACCACTTTCAGGTTGGGTTGCCAGAATACTATCCTGCTCGCTTGCCTTCTACTAGCTTCGACATGCGGTGCTTTTGAACTTCAATGTTGATTCGACGACAGAATGTGCTGCTTTGCCTTATCGATTTATGCAACTCCAGAATCTCCACACAGAGATCCTGCGAAGTCCTTCTTCTGTCTAGCCGTGTCGGCGATGCTCTGTCAGATGCCCCGTCTAGCCCTCGTTGACGGCAATGACGTTGTTTGCGGTAATTTCGTTGTTACCTTCTCCTCTTTAATCTATCTGCCAAGTCCTAGCCTAAGGCTAAGACTCAAAACCTCTCAACCCTTAAAAGCCCGAGAGAAAGCAATCTCCAGGTGATGGGCTACCCCATGACCAACATGGAAGGCCGCGAGTACGTCATTGAGGCTCGCGGCTTGAGGGGATTTGAGGGCTTTGAGGGTCTTATAAGGCTTTTTGCATACACTTTTGGGTAGGCAAGAATTTAGTTCAAGGGCTCACATGATCCCTATAAAGCCAAAACATATTACCAGTTTCCATTTCACTTTTTCCATCATGGGGATAAGCCCTTCTAGGCCCAATAGTTTGCAAGTAGCTTTCGCTTGATCCCAGGTATAAGGTAGGGAAAACCCTTTGTTGCAACGAGGTAAGACCCAATAGTTCCTTACAGTTACCTGGAATAGATAGCAGTAGTGTGTGATAATATGCTTGCCTACATCCCAAAGCCCTACATCATCCCAGTTTCAATTTCCCATTGCATTGTCTTTCCAAAGTGGTTTTCCACTATTCTAATGTAGCTATATGCATCTCTATCTACTTATAGATCCGTGTATACAGTGGTCTTTTCACAACCAGGTATACCCCACAATGCACGTGCTGAAGACGCGGCAAGCAGGGGCCCCAGGTGTGGCAGCGAATGCTGGCCAAGCAAGCTGAAATCTGCCCGCATGACCATTTGGCTTGGTCGGTTTTGGGGGATCAGGTATGGAAGTTCCTGCATGGCAGCCACACCCAGCACCAAACCCAGACTGGATGTGAGGCAACCCCAAATGCTAGCATTCTCGCTCATCGCACTCTTTTCCTAGCCCTGCCCAGAAAAAAGCTGCGGCCCCGCTAATGGCAGTTTCCTTGCACAACATCGCTGGCCGGGTGTGGGGCACACTTGGGCTGAGTGCTTGCCCTGGAGCGTCATGCGGGAAGGGCCAACGTGTATGACAGAGGAGCACATGGTCTAACGCGCCCGCTGGGGGTGCTCTTGGCCGTGTGGTGCATGATCTTGACCGTATATTTGCATCACCTTTAGTTCCATGTGTTGGAGGGAAGGCCACAGAAGCAGTTGCTGCATTGCCGCCAAGGTCGTCAGGGGAAGCGGTCTTCCCTGTTGTTTTGTCTGTTCAGGCATCTCTTTTGCTGTAGGTGGTCGAGCCATACCACGAGCTTCATTTTGATGTTGGCATCCTCTTTGCCAGGGATCGTGGCCTTTATGTGCTGTCAATTGCAATGTTTTGCTACCTTCCCAGGCAGTTGTCGCTTGATTTCTTTTCCACTTGCGCATTTCTCAAACCCTAAACCATCCCAAACCCAAAATAGTAATTTCCACTTTCTTTTACAGTCCTTATTCGGACATCATGTTGCCATATATCCCTACAACCCCCAATATCCATTTCATGTTTCTCTTGCTCTTTCATGATTGGGGTGGGGTAACATCCCTCAAGCTTAACATAGCCCCTTTATAATCCTGCTATAAATCGTATATAACCACATAGTTATGTAACCCTCTACGTAACTCTAAACCCCAAACCCAAAACCATCCCTTATCCAGGTTGGCCGCCTTGGCGGGGCGCCGATTTTCCTTGAGGCAGAGCAGGGTTTCAAATGGCGAAGTGAAGCTTCTAATGTAGAAGTTTGAGTAATTGCCAATATCATGGTTCTAGAATCCTTGTTCTTATGTTATGGGGTACCTGACATACACCGCAAAATGACACTGGCAATTGTTTAGGCTTCTGCATTAGAGAGATTTTGCGAGGATTTTTTGCGACTTGAATGTGCTTTATAGAGTTCGCTCATAGGGATTACTTGAGACTTCTGCAGGTGCGACCCAGGATTGTTGTGGGGAACCTTTAGGCACATGATTACCCTGGTCCCATAGTACGCCCGCGACCTTGCACTCTCAAAATCTTATTGGTGGTTAGCAGGGACTACTGGAATATCCTTTCACAATCCCTGTATCATCCCTATATCATCCCTATTCAATACCTCTATAGTCCCTATATTGTGCCTAGATAATTCCTATAGCATCCCTAAAAAGTCAATAGAATTCCTACATTTCCATATTCCCTGCTAACCACCAGTAAAAAAGAAGCCCACCTTGCAGGCAGACGCCCTGTCCGTGGGCAAAGGCGATTTCGCTTTGCGCCACGAGGCTGGACCTTGATGACTCGATCGTGAGTTAAAAGGGTGTAGGGTTTAGGGGGATCAGGGGTTCAGGGTGTAGGGGTTTAGGGGTCTGGGTTTGGGATTCAGGATTGAGCACTTTAAAGAGGGCAAGCGTTTAGGAGCATCAGGAATATGTAAATGTAGATGGGTACGTGCCGGACCTCCGAACCCCGACACGCTCCCAGCGTCCACCCTGCAGTTGTGAAATACATTGATTGAATTACACCAGCTAGGAATGCAATAATGAGCTAAACGTAGAGATTCTCCAAGGAAATCTTATTGGTGCTATGATAGGGTTATACGCCCGCCCAGACCTCATGGTTTCCCCTGCTACCTCCCCCTATACTACCCACCCCTCTGTTCCACTTAATTAACCTTAATGGAGAGCCTAATTATCCTTAAACAGCCTTAATTAGGGGGGCAACCTATGGGTAGTATAGAGGGGGTAGTAGGGAAACCCATGAAGACCCTGTGCGGAGTCCCGGCAGGTGATGGTGGACGGCGTTCCTTGCATTGTCAAGGACCTGCTTGCCCAAGTCAACAGCCTGAGTGTTGTGCAAGGTCCCGCAGATTTGAGAGTTGAGTGGCGAAGAGCGCGCAAGATCCCTTGTTCCTGTCGTAGTTAGTCTAGTTGCAGACGTTGCTGGTAATACAACTTACTCCCCTATCCTGTCTGCTAAACCCTAAACCCTAAACCCTAAACACAAGCTTCAGGACATGGTCAAGAGGAACAACAATCAGGCTCAGCCAGTGAAGGGTCCTTAGGCCGAGGGTTGGCGGGTTAGAGTTTAGGGTCTAAACTCCTTAGAGAGGGGTTATGTAGGGGATTCTATACGGGAGTCTTATAGGTGCTATTAAGGGGGATACTAGGAGTTTAGACTAATGGCTTATATTGAAATGTACCTGAAAATTCTATTGGACTTGCTTAGGTTTGAAGAGGAGAGCTTGGGAAGCATCGAGGAGAACACCTGATTGTGGGCCTGGTTTCTAGAGGCCTTTAAGGCATTCACGGCCAGCTCAAAATTGAAGATAGGAGGCTCCAAGTTTTGCTGGGAACACGTGGGCTTCATCAAAGCGATCATCATATTGACTCACAAGTCGTGCCCATTCTCGCTGTCCTTGGAGGAAGCGCAGTGATAGTAACAGTAATAGAAGATGTGTTAGTAATAGCAACGCAGGAGCCTGAATAATTGCCGAGAACATGGCCCGACTTGTCTGGCGTAATGAATGGCAGTAAAGAAAATGACAGGCAATTGTTCAGGCTTCCCTACACTATAAGCGCTATAACCCCTGCAAACACACAGTTTACATTTCGTTTTCCATATTCTTGTCCACTTGATTCTCCACTATAGGTGATTGTTTAGACACACAAAAATCCCATAAATCCTACGAATCCTAAAGTCCACACATATCTCCGGTAAAACCCTATATAATCTGTTTAACGGTTAAACCCTAAACTCTGGATATCCCAACATGCCTCTGCGTATCTACCCTAAACCCAAGCTCCTCCAAAGGACCCTAAGCCCTCAAATGGGGTTTTGGGGTCCATCTTGGGCCCCCGTCAATTAGAGAAACTACCACATATATTTTACTATAATACCGTAGTTTCCATTTTCTTGTCCATGTTCCCGACATAATCCTTTTGTAACCCCTATATATACAATATCAGATGAAAACCCCTAAGCCCTAAACCCTAACCCTACCAATTGCTTGGAAGCCCGTGGCAGCTCGTGACCTGCATCCCCTCGGCGGTGTCCGAGCGCTCGCCCCTGTGGCCGAGGCTTGCAGGGGGCGAGGGGAAGGGTTTCGGGTTTAGGGGTTTAGGGGTTTAGGGGTTTAGGGTCTAGGGTTTAGGGATTTGGGTTTAGGGCTTCGGGATTATTTTTAAGGGATTAGGGTTTGGAGTTTAGCGATTATGGTTTAGGGATTAGGGCTTTTGGTTTGGGGTTAGGGCATTAGGGTTGAGGGATTAGGATCACGGGATTGTGTTTAGGGGTTCAGGGTTCAGGTGTAGGGGTTCAGGATGTGGGCCTGAAGGGGGGAGGGGATGCTAAGTTTTAACCTTAAAGCCTGGATATCCCCACAGATCCCTATCTATCCGTCTCTACATGAGACATATACATCCCTTTTCATGCCCATGCATGCAACTCTTCCATGTAGATACCCGCATAAATATACATCATATATATATATATATATCTAATATATAATGTGTCTACCCATGTTTTCAAGGCGTATCCCTATGTATGATGCTCAAGTTTTCTTTAGGGGTCCGGCAGGTGTAGCATACCTCAGATCGTATGCGGATGTCAACCGGATACATGCACACTCTGC